AACAACAACATGTTTAAAGAGTAGATCTGCCTTAGGAAAAGTACAGTCAGGATGCTCCTTAGAAGCGAGGATGGTGAGACTTTATCTCACATACTTTGGACGTATCCAGAGGGACCAGTCCCTGGAGAAGGATATGAAATTTAGTAGAGGGTCAACTAAAAAGAGGAAGACCTTCAAGGAGATGGATTGACACAGTGGCTGGAACAGCAGGCTCAAACATTGAACGTGAGGATGGCAGAAAACTGAGTAATATTCCATTCTTCTATATGTAATCACAAGGAGCTCTGGTGGTATAGTGGATAAGGCACCTGACTGCTAACCAGTAGGTCAGCAGTTCAAACACACCAGCTGCTCCATGGAAAGAAGACTGGGTGTGTTCTACTTCTGTAAAGATTTATAGCCTTGGAAACCCAATGGTGGTCACTATGAGTCAGAAATGACTCAATGGCATTGAGTTTGGCTTGGTTTTGGTTTATATATAGTCTTTATGAGTCAGAACCTACTCGATGGCACCTAACAACAGCAATATATCTAATGACAACTTATTTAACATACATATTGCTGATTCGTTAGCACTGAACTCATGACCAACATCACTATAACTCATACTTTAATGAAGCTTGTCTGTTTCTGTTGTTGTCAGATGCCACTGAGTTGATTTCCAATGTATAATGATGCATAGCAAAGCTTATCTAACACATGTATTTTCTCTGAAAGGCACATCACAGCCTTGCTACACTTAGGAATACTTCCACACTTCAACTGCACTTCAACACTACCCTTGAGGGACCATTCAAAACAGCAAAGTCACCAACAAAAACTTCAGAGTTTGAAAAATGTGTCACTAAATAGAGCACAAAAAGATATTTGTTGACAGAATAAGATCTGAAATATAGGCAGAGTTTTGCATTATTTGACCTCAGATGGGAACATTCATGTCCAGAGACTCAAATTTTTGCCACTCTGTACATGTCCATGAATGACTATGAAAGCACTATAAGTATTATTTTGGTGTTTAATATAAACTTTAACAAGTAGGCAAATTAGCAAATAGAATATCTGTAAAAAATGAGGATCAGCTTTACTGTCTTCTTTCCAAGATGATATGGGATTCAATGGTTATTATGTTGTCAAGCACTTTGTAAAATGTTTATCATGATAATTAATTGTTTATCTACATCTTAACGATTCTAAGTCATTCATTCGCTCATTCTTCTTTGTAGGATAGAAAGGTGTTGGTGGGGAAATTGTAAAAGAGGCAAACAAAAGACAAAGGTAGACTGTGAGTTAATCAACCATTGATGTTGACATTGATTAATTAAAGCACTCTTAAAGATTTTCCATTGCATATTGTACTAATTGCCAGAACATCACATTAAATTGACTTTTGCAATAACTTTGTTATCTTGCCTGGGATGACTGAGTGAGTTAGTTGTAAGAGGAAGATGTATATGTATTCCAAGTCTGTATTCCAGTAAGTTGTCTCATATGTTAGGACCAAATATAGCAAGGATAATTAAATACCTGGTCATCTCTGTTGTATATCTTCAGGAGGCTGGAATTTTGAGACTCACAAGATTCTCGACTCTGGTACCAGCTTTTGCTCTCATCAAAAAATTGGTAACAATTATTTCTATGACATATCCAGTTTTTAGGACATGGGCCACAGTAACTTTCTAGAAAGGGAGATTATACTATTAATTCTTTATGTCTGAACATCAGAGCAAATTTTGTCTAGACTAGTAAATACCTTCCTATTTCAACTCTAAAATTCCCCACAATTAAACCATTATTTTAATACCACATGATACATCCCTACACATTCATAATGAGAGAAAGACGTGTCAAAACTAAGTATCTTCTACTTTTTACAAGTACTCTCTTACAATTAAAAAAAAAAAAAATAGAAGAAGAAGAGCTTGCATGATAAACTACTGTGACTAACACTAATCATTTCCTTGGATATATGTCTACATCCCAGTAAATACATTTTTTAGAAAAACCAAACTTATTTCCCTCAAGTAAATTCCAATTTATGGTGACCCCATGTGTTACAGAATAGAACTGAAGCATAGGGTTTTCTTGGCTTTAATGTTTACAAAAACAGTTCACTAGGCCTTTCCTCCTGAGACCCGCCAGGTAGGTTTAAACTGCCAGCCTTTAGGTTAGCAGATAACTACAAGCTGCTTGGGCCACCCAGGCTCCCTAGTACAAATCGATGTACACAATGTATGGTGTAAAATATGAGAAAATATCCACTTACCATTCAAAGAAATTGCAGCTTCTTGGTTGAATGATGCTATTAAAGTAATCATAAAATGAAAAGGTTTTATGATGTTAGCCTAAGCAAAAATAGCTTACAACTTTTACAAATGGTTGCAAAAATATAATAAGAATATTTATTTAAATTTGCTAAGTTATGTTCCTGTGCTTCTGAGTACTAATCAAAGTAATGTATTAAAATTGTTAAATCAACAATGCTTCAATCTACTTCTCTTTTGTCACTTACAATTTATGAATATGATACTCGACACGGCTACCATAACAATGAATCGGATCCCCATAGCTACTGCAATGAAACGACCAAGGAAAAATGTAGATGCTGTCAAAGAAAAAAAGAGAGTTTAGAAAAAGGATAATGGGTTCAGGTATCTTTGTATTTAAAATAGAGTTTAAGGTGACTTTCAGGAGGGTAGTTATTAGTACTTTTTTTTTCTATAATTGTTTTTCCAGAATACATAAGAGAAATAATTGGGGAAAATAATAAACAAGAGTATAAATATACAAATATAACAATCCCTTCTATTTCTGCCCCTTCCCCCCAGGAGTTCTGGTGGTGAGTGATTAGGCCCTTGGCTGCAAACTGTTAGCTGTTGGAACCCAGGAGCTGTTCCTGGGAGAAAGACGTGGCAGTCTGCTGCCATAAAGATTATAGACTTGACTTACTAGACTGGTGAAAAACCCAAGGCTATGGCCCTTAGACACTCTTCAAGTCTAAAATGGAACTCACCCTGGTGGCTCAACTTTCAGCCAGAAGATAGGTTGAATATTTATGCCAGGGAGGTGTGCACTCCTAGGAACAACCAACCACACAAGATCAAAAGGGCAGAATTTGCCCAGGGATAAATCTCAGAAGGTGGGAAGAGATAGGAGAGGGGGAGGAGTGGAAACTGTAAACACAGGGAGGAAGCGGGAAGAGTGCTGTTACATTGTGGGGATTGCAATTAGTGTCACGAAACAAAATGTTTATAGATTATTGAATGGAGAAATAGATCTGATTTCTTCCAAATCACAATAAAATTTTTTTAAAAGAGAGAGAGAGAGAGAGATTACAGCCTTGGAAACTCTATGGGGCAGTCTGCTCTTTCTGACAAGATCACTATGAGTCGGAATCAACTTTACTGCATCGAGTTTATTTCTCCCCTCACATCACCCAGTTTCTCCTGGAGTAAATCAAAGCTTTCAGTTTTAATTTTGGTCCTCAGAAGGAAGGTTGGGCATTCCTACTTCCGTAGTGATACTGCCTCGGAAACCAAGGAGGGGTCGCTATGAGTCGGGGCCAACTCAATGGCAAATAACAACAACAACATACATTAATAAATGTAGACAGTCAGCTCCCTTAAATCACCTTTTCAAAATATGTATTTATGGCAATACATAACCTATTCTGAAAATTAACTTTTCACTTAAGAAAATACCCTGGTGATCATTGCCTATGATGACTTATAAATTGTCTCATAAATAACTAGTGACAAAATCTAACTTTTGACAGACTTTTAATTTTTTCCAGTAAATATTTAAATTAATTCTAACTTTTAGGTTTTAGAAATAATGATACAGTATATGACATTCATATGTACCACAGTACATATTTTTGAATACCTTTCTAGGGAAATTTTCCTAAGTATAATTGTGAGCATATTTAAAATTTTCATAATGTTTGGAAGTTTCAGTCCAAACAGGTTTTGCCAAATTACATAGTGTCAAAAAGAAACATAAATATCTGTGTTCTCACACCTTCTTTAGCACTGAATATTATTTACATTTAATTTTTTTAAATTTGAAAATCTGATAGTCAAAATTTCTCTATTTTAACTTTATTATTCTAACTCCTAGTGACTAAGGAGTGGTGGCATGGTGCCTAAGGCATTTGACTGCTAACCAAAAGATTGGCAGTTCACAAAGTTTCACCACCTCAGAAACCCAAAGAGGGTTGCCATGAGTAGGACTCAACTCCATGGCAGTGAGTTTGTTTGTTTTGTTTTAAAATGTGATTAAACATTTTTTTTTCCCCTATATTTAAAGAATATTTTATTTCCTTTTTCAGGGATGTTTTTGTTTTGATCAGGTTGCTGGTTTGGTTCTTATATGTAGGTTAAGAATATTAGCTCAATTCTTGCCATATGTTTGGTAATGGATAACTAAGTTTTTATTTCTGTTTTAACTTCATTTATGATTCTTTTGACGTGCTGTAATGGTTAATTTTTCTGTAGTTGACTTGATCAAACATTCCTATGATTTTGCTTTTTTATATATAAATAAAAAGTTTTCATTATGCTCATGTTTTGTCACTATTTTACATATATATGTGCATATATATATATATGTATATGTTATATTATATTTAACTTGGTGCTTTTTTTTTTTTTTAACTGTGTATCTGTAAAATAAATTAGGCAAAAAAAATCAATAAAAATTGTTTGTTTTTCCAAATGGAAACCCAATTTTTCTAACACTATTCATTAAATAAACCAATGTACCCTCACTGATGTGCACTGTCACTTGCACTGTATAATACATGCCTCTATGCATTAATCTTTATTCCTAGATACTCTAGTGTGTCTTTTAGTCGAAATATTTGTGAATTTCTCTAGCTTTATACTAGAATATTTGATTGTGCCTCTATTTTTACATTAAATATGTTGTTCAATATTCAATTTTTTAAAATTATTGTACTTTCTTTAGTTTTTTCCTTTTTGTTGTTGTTCCTGTTAATGATTTTAGCTGCCATACATTTGACATTGTGTTGTCTGCATATCGCAGGTTGTTAGTCTTCTTCCAATTCTGATGTCATGCTCCTATTCATATAGTCCAGTTTCTCAGATTATTTGTTCAGAATACAGATTGAATAAGTGTGGTGAAAGAATACAACCCTGATGCACCCCCTTTCTAATTTTAAACCGTGCAGTAGCCCCTTGTTTTGATCAAACAACAGCCTCCTGGTACAGGTACAGGTTCCTGATCAGCACAAGCAACTGTTCTGGAATTTGCATTTTTCTCAATGTTATCCATAATTTGTTATGATCCACACAATCAAATGTTTTGCATAGCCAATAAAACACAAGTAAACATCTTTCTGATATTCTTCCCTTTCAGTCAAGATCCATCTGACATCAGCAATTATACACCTTGTTCGATGTCCTCTTCTGAATCCAGCTTGCATTTCTGGAAGTTCTCTGTCAATATACTGCTGTAACTGTTTTTGAATTATTTTCAGCAAGATTTTACTTGCATGTGATATTAATTATATTGTTTGATAATTTCCACGTTCTGTGGGATCGCCTTTCTTTGGAATGGGTACAAATATGTATCTCTTCTAGTCAGTTAGCCAGGTAGCTGTCTTTCAAATTTCTTAACATAGACAAGTGGGTGCCTCCAGAGCGGCATCCATTTATTGAAACATCTCAATGGGTATTCCTTCAATTCCTGGAGCCTTGTTCTTTGCCAATTCCTTCAGTGCAGCTTTGACTTCTTCCCTTAATACCATTGGTTCTTGATCATATGCCATCTCCTGAAATGGATGAACATCAACCAAATTTTTTTGGTACAGTGATTCTGTGTATTCCTTTCATATTCTTTTGTTGCTTCATGCATCATTCAATATTTTCCCCATAGAATCTTGTATTGCAACTTGAAGCTTAAATTTTTTCTTCAATTCTTTCAGCTTGAGAAATCCCTTTTGGTTTTATAACCCCAGGTCTTTGCACATTTCATTATAATAATTAGCTTTCTCTTCTCAAGCTGCTCTTTGAAATCTTCTGTTCAGCTCTTTTATCTTATCATTTCTTCCATCTGTTTTAGCTACTCTCCATTCAAGGGCAAGTTTCAGAGTCTCTTCTGACATCCATTTTGGTCTTTTCTTCCTTTCCTGTTTTTTTAATGATCTTTTGCTTTCTTCATGAATGATGTTCTTGACGTCATCCCAGAATTCCTCTGGTTTTTGGTCATTGGTGTTCATGCATCAAGTCCATTCTTCAGATGGTCTCTAAATGCTGGAGGGATATTATCAAGGTCATATTTTGGCTCTCATGGACTTGCTTTAATTGCTTTCAACTTCAACCTGAACTTGTATATGAGCAGTTGATGGTCTGTTCCACAGTCAGCTCCTGATCTTGTTTTGGCTGAAGATATTGAGCTTCTCCATCGCCTCCTTCCACAGATGTAGTCAATCTGACTCCTGTGTACATCATCTGGTAAAGTCCATGTGTATAACCACTGTTTGTCTTGTTGAAAAAATTGCAATGAATAATTCCTTGGTCTTGCAAAATTCTTTCATGTGATCTCCAGCACTATTTCTATCACCAAGGCCATGTTTTCCAAGTACCGGTGATTCTTCTATTTCCAACTTTTGCATTTCAATCACCAGTGATAATAAACACATTTTGATTGCATGCTGGGTCAATTTAAGACTGCAGAAGTTGGTAAAAATCTTCAATTTCATAGTTTTTGGCTTTGGTGATTGGTGTGTAAATTTGAGTAATAGTAATGTTAACTATTCTTCCTTGTAGGCATACTGATATTATCCTATCACTGACAGAATTGTACTTCAGGATAAATCTTGAGACATTCTTTGTGATGATGAATGCCATGCCATTCCTCTTCAATTTTTCATCACTGGCATAGTGGATCATATGGGTGTCTGATTCAAAATGGCTAAAAATAGTCCATTTCAATTCACTAATGCCTGGATATTGATCTTTGCATGCTCTATTCCATTTTTGACAACTTCCAATTTTCCTAGTCATACTTTATACATTCCATGTTCTGATTATTAATAGATGTTTGCAGCTGCTTCTTCCCATTTTGAGATTAGAGGAAGACTCATTAACAACCTGCGACATGCAGACAACACAACTTTGCATGCTGAAAGTGAGAGTGACTTGAAACACTTAATGATAAAGATTAAAGATTACAGTCTGCAGTATGGATTACATCTCAACATAAGGAAACTCACAACTGGACCAATAAACAGCAACACAATAAATGAAGACTGAAGTTTTCAAACATTTCATATTACTTGGTTCCACTATCAACACCAATAGAAGCAGCTGTCAAGACTTTAGGTGATGTATTGCACTGGGCAAATCTTCTGCAAAAGACGTCTTTCAAGTGATAAAGAGCAAAGATGTCTCCTTGAAGACTTAAGTGAGCCTAACCCAAGCCATAGCCTTTTCAATAGCCTCATATGTGTGTGAGAGCTGGACAATGAACAAGGAAGACCGAAGAAGAGATGATGCTTTTGAGTTGTGGTATTGTCAAAGAATATCGAAAGTACCATGGACCACCAAAAGAACTAACAAATTTGTCATGGAAGATGTGTAGCCAGAATGCTTCTTAGAAGGGAAAATGGCCAGACTTCATCTCACCTACTTTGGTCATGCTGTCAGAAGGGACCATTTCCTGGAAAAGGATATCATGCTTAGTAAAGTGGAGGGTCAATGAAAAAGGAGAAGGCCCTCAATGAGATGAATTGACACAGTGGCTACAACAATGGACTTATGTGTGGCAAGGATCGTGAGACTGGCAAAGGCTAGGCAGTGTTTTGTTCTGTTGTACATAGGGTCACTATGAGTCAGAGCCGACTTGACGGCACCTAACAACAACAACAACAACATATTTGACACGTCATCCATCACATTTTTCTTGTATTTTAGTAAGAAAGACAATTGTTTTTTGTTTTAATTTTCAGTCAAATCTACATATTGAGTTTCCCTGAAGGCTGGTGGTTCAAACCCACCAGCCACTCCTCGGAAGGAAGGTTGGGCAATCCTACTTCCATAGTGATACTGCCTCGGAAACCCAAGGAGGGGTCGCTATGAGTCGGGGCCGACTCGACGGCACATAACAACAACAACAACAACAACAATAGATTTTTTAAAAATAATTTTAGATATTGATCTTTAAGTTTTTTTTTCAGATTTAAAATGTCCTATTTTCCTAATAACGAACTACTATTTATTATACCAGTTCTTCCTTTTTTTTTTTTTTTTAACTTTTTATTGTGATTTAGGTGAAAGTTGACTAAGCAAATTGTTTTTTCCGCTCAAAACTCCATACATATCTGGAGGGATATTGTCAAGGTCATATTTTGGCTCTCATGGACTTGCTTTAATTGCCTTCAACTTTTGTTCTGTGGCATTGATTGCACTCCTCACAATATATGATTATTCTCCCCACTTCCCGCTGTTTGCTATTTCCCTTCATTCATCCTTCTTTCCTATTCCTTCCTGCCTCCGAGGCTTATCCCTGGACTAATGCTGCCCTTTTAATCTCTGTAGTTGATTGTTTTAAGGAGTACTTACCTCCCTGGTGTTATTGTTCACCTTACAGGACTTTCCATTGTTTGCCTGAAAGTTGAACTAATGGTGTGATTTCTGTTACAGGTTTCTAAGTGTAATAGTCTGAGGAGTTCTACTAGTCTCTGTCAGACCAGTAAACCAGGTCATTTTTCTGATTTTGAATTTTGTTACAGATTTTTCTCCCACTCTGTACAGCATCTCCTATTGTGATCATAATCAGAGCATCAGCAGAAGTAAACAGTCACTGTCTAGTTCTTCTGGTCTCAGAGTCATGCATACTGGGGTTCACATAGCTCATTAGTTCTTTGGACTAATTGTTTCTTTGTATCTTTTATTTTCTCTACTCACCTTTGCTTTGGAAGAAGACAGACCAATAGTTGCAACTTAGATGGCTGTTAACAAGCTTTGAAGACCTTCGTCACTACTCACCAAAGGAGGTTGTAGAATGTTGTCATTGTGACTGTTTTGCCAATTGACTTTAATGCCCTCTGAGTTGCCAGGTCCAGTGATTCATTCCCTCAAGATTTTTGGTTATGCCTAAGAAGTTTTCATAACTTTGACCCCTGTATTCTGTACTACATTGGCTAGCACCAATATAACAATATGAACACCAACTTGAGTACGTGATAGTGATAATTCTTGCCTTTTTCTAGTCTTAATGAAAATGCTTCTAGAACTTATCAATAAACATATTTATGGCTTTTGAATATATATATATACATACATACATACATACAGCTGACCCTTGAAAAACATGGGTTTGAATTATTAGGTCCACTCACAGCTAGATTTTTTTAAAGATATGGATCTTAGAGAAATTCAAGAACTAATAAACACAGAGGAATTATCAAGATGACTTGATGGAGATGAGTGTTTCTAAACTAGTATCAAACAATAAGGAAGAAGATGTAGAAGAAGCAGTGCCAGAAAACAGATTGGCTGAAGGGCTTTCATTATTCATGACTACTTTTGACTTCTTTTACAACATGGACCCTTCTATTTATGGGCGGCACTGAAACTAAAGCCAATGAGAGAAGAAGGATTGGTGCTGTATAGAAATATTTTTAGAGGAGCAAAAAGTCAAAAAAATCAGACAGAAATTATGATGTGTTTCCATAAATTTACACCAAGTGTGCCTGCCTCTCCTGCCTCCCCTTCCACCTTCTCCACCTCTTCTGCCTTTCCTACCCCTAGACAGCACAACCGGCCCCCCTTCCTCCTCTTTAGCCTATTCAACGTGAAGATGGCAAGCATAAAGACCTTTCTGATGATCCACTTCCACTTAACGCATAGTAAATAATGATCATGCCATACAGTTAATAAACTTATCTGTTGTGCATGTGTGTATCTAATAACTGTACAGCAAGAACAGTGTTAATCAACAGTTTATATTATCAGTAATGCTTCTTGTCTACAGTAGACTATTAGTAGTTAAATTTTGGGGGAGTCAAAAGTTATACTCGGGTTTTCAACAGTGCCAGGTTCAACACCCCTAACTCCTGCATTGTTCAAAGGTCAATTGTGCATATAACCCATTGATGTCAACTTGATTCTGACTCATAACCATCCTATAACAGAGTAGAACTGCCTACAGGGTTTCCAAGGTTGCACATCTTTACAGAAGCGTACTGTCTCATCTTTCCCCCACAGAGCAGTTGATGGGTTCTAATTGCCAACCTTTCAGTTAGCAGCTAGGAGCTTAAGCACTTCACAGGTAGAGCTGTCTGTATGCATACCTTAAATAAAATATATTATCTATTTATATTTTAGAGGTCTTGAAATTTAAATTCCTTTTAATTAAGAATTCATATTGATTTTCATTCAATGCTTTTTATAAGTAGAGATATGATCATATAATCTTTTCCCTTTGATTATTAAATATTGCACGTTTGCATTCTTAGCATTAACTCATATAGTAATGCAATTTGCTAATAATTTATTTTTAATTTTTAATCAAAATTCATAGATGAGCTGCTCTGTTGTTCTTTTTGTGTAAGCTATGTCAAATTCTATTATCAGTGATATTCTGTCTTAGCAAAACTTATTAGAACATTTATTCTTCACTTCACTCAGAAACAGTTTTATAAATACTAATTGAGTCATAAGCTCTAGAATGTTTAAGATCATGACTCTGAAGGACATTTTTGTTTCTTTTCTTTTTTGTTTTTCCATTTCCATTTACTCTTTCTTAAAGCTAATAGCTTGATGATCGCTTATAAACTCTTGTCTTATTGTCTTTATTATTATTAAACATCTCACCATTTTTTAATGGTAGCAAACTTCTTAAACTTGATAGTTTCTTTTCATTTTGTCATACATTGCAATGTAGTATTAGAGTTAATTTCATTTCTGCTTTCCTCATGAAGGTAAAATAAACTGAATGATTGCTAATGATTTACACATTTTCCAAGATTTGACTCAGTATTGAGAAAGAAGACAACCAGAATATAGAACTTACGGTTTTCTCTACATTTGCTTGGGGTTGGTGGAGGTATTCTCCTTTGGCATTGTGTAGAGTCATCATACTTTGACAGTTCAAAGTTATAATTATGAAATTCACTCATCTCTGTAGAAAAGAAATCAGGCCAATATAAGACTTGAGCTTTTTACCACTTGGAGCACAAATTTTTAAAACTCAACTTTCCATTTCCATATGCATGTTTCCACTGAATATACGTTTTAAAGTATAATAGCATGAATTAATTTTGTTTCATATTACTTCATGGTTAAGTTTTCTAAACTTTGTAATATACATGAAATATGTTTATTGCATTGTAATATATCTTTAACAAGATTCTATATATTATTAAAATAAGTAAATTTCATAATATTTAAAGAAATATTAAAGAATCAATATTGTGAAGAAGACAGGGGCCTAGGGAGACTAACATGTATTCTATATTTACTAACTAGTTAACTTCACATGAATAATTTAACTTTTGCATCCAAGTTTTCTCATTCAGAAAGAAAGAAATAGAGAGGAAGGAAGGGTGAAAAAGAGAAAGAAAAAAGGACATGAAGAAGGAAGTGAAGAATGAAGGGATGACTATAACCTCATATAGATATTTTTAAAATGAAATAAAGTAATATGAACCTAGTATCAATAGTTGCAAGCACATAGTAAGCACTTAGTAATGGCAAGTGTGTTTAATTTTTATAATGGGAACATACAAAGCTGAAAGATTAGGTTCTAAAGTTTTTGAATAATGACAAATAGAGTCTTGTCCCTGAACAAAACAAGCGAAAATTACTTTTACTCTGTTCTTGAAATATTAATCATTTACTGAATCTTGAAAAACCCTTCATAAATTATGTTTATATCTTTTATATCACAAAATTAGATTTAAACATTGTTTCCCATAAAATGTATAATTTAATTATTAAACCTCTGAAGTAAAGAGAGTATTATTTTGTGGATGAGGAAAAGGAATATTAGAGGTGATCAAAAACATATTGATATACATTTCAAATATATATCATCTAATTTAAATCTTACAAAAGCGCACTAAGACAAATAGAATATGTTTATTTTCTATCTTATTTAATAGAAAATGAAACTATAATGCACAGAGACAATGAATTCCCTTAGATCTCGAAAGTGGAGAGTGGGAAAAGTTTGATTAAAACTAAATTCTTATTCCTCTGTGAATGACTGCTTTTTAAGTAGTTAATAAAATGAAGGAAACATGTTTACAAGTTTTTGAAGACTTGATTTATAAGGAACATAAAATGAATCAGAGTAAATTTCTCTCCTATGTCTTATATGTTTGCATTAAATTCTGGGTATCTTAAAATAATACAGAAGCGTAATTGTGGAAAATTCATACCCACACTGTGATGAGACCTCCGACCACGGATCAACCCCATCCTGTAATTACTACTTCACATGTAAAGCAGAGATGAATCCAAATGTCTTCATTACACAAACCACTCCTGAATAAAATAAAATTGGGCATTTTTTTCCAGTACTCACTCCTTGTGGCAAAAGAAAGATTTTGATTGGAATTACTAGAATAAAGAAATGTTTCCCTTGATGCATGATTACAAAAAGGAAAGAAAGGAAATGTAAGTTTATAAAAAGACAGGTGAAAGCAATTTTACAAGTTTTCCTTTGTTGAAATATAATAATTAATCATTCCAAAAGTACCATAGAAATATAATTGATGTTTTTTATTTAACTTTATTAAGGTATTTAATCAAAGATATTTTTATATCACTAATACTGAATGACAACACATATACTTTTCGTTTTTAGTTATTTTTTTTTTTAATTTGGGAATAATTGATATTTGGGATACCTAAATTCAGGAAAATATGAATTTTTTTAAGTACATTTGAATTCAGCTTTTGTCCATATCATTATCATTGTCATCAACAACACATATCACCATTACAATCATCAACAAAAGCAGACATTTTCTTAAATAGTAACATCACACAGTGTCTAACAGAGCCCCCAGACATTATAGCTATTTAAAAAATATGTATAGTGCTTACATTTTAAAAATCAAAACTTTTCACATTTGATCAGAATAGCTGGAAGAAACAAATATAACTTGCATCATTAGCAAATAAAGTTGTGTATCACAGAACACAACAGGCTTGTAAAAGTTCAGATAATACTTAAGTGTGAGAATTCAAAATGAAAACCAATTCTTCTAAACCCAGTGTAAAGATTCATCCTACTCTTGTTTAGTGATAAGGCTCCTTCTTATAGCAACATCATAATTCAGATTCTGTGTCTAGTATCTTCAGTAGGAACAGTAATATTATCCTAATTTACTTATCATCAAACAGTGAAAAATAACATAACTCAGAAGTAATAAGTATTCCCTCTTCTCAGTAATTCTTTATAAACACTCAAGAAACATTTAGAATTAGCATTGTAGTATAAATAATTTTAGAAATTTTCTTGAGGTTGAAACATATTTCTTTTTTTTCTTGACTAATACCTGGTAAAATCACACACACACACACAAATATATACACATACCTGATTAGAGAAGGAAGATCCTGATTCTTGTAGACAAAGCCTCCTATACAACTGAAAGTTTTAACTATGTCCCAAGTTCCTAATTTATTACTGAAATTAGAAATGCTCAGTTAATTTTCACCTCTGAGAAATACAAGTTAGATGTTTTAATCTCATTTCCCTATTGGGAAAAAAAAAAAAGAAAGAAAGAAAGAAACGCAAAACCACAATGGTTCTGCTTTATCACTGCACAGAAAATTTGGCTTATTGTGTGGGTAAGGTGTGATCACTCATGGTTGGATAAGTATTAGCTCCTAAAAACCTTTTCTGACTGGAAAATGATTAATTCAGCCATAAGTAGCTCAGAGTTCTAAGAAACGAATTATGGGACGATATAATCTCTGAATAAGAAGTGAAAATTTATCATAACATATGCATGCAAGAACTATATGGAAATAAACAGACAAGAAAATGAAGTGCACTTCTCAATTACCCTGCAGTTCAAGCTGCTTTGTTTGAGTGAAACATACATACACACACACAATGCACATATATATGATCTTTTAATTATAAAACTATAAATATATACAAAATAGAGAATTGTATAATAAACAGTTATGCACCCAGCTTAAACAATTATTGACTCACAGCCAATATTACTTCATCTGTGATATACGTGGATGTCTCAAATTCATCTCTGCTCATAATTAAGGCCTTTATCTCCTTTTGTCTAGAAGATAATACTCTATATTAGCTGAATTTTTTAAAAAAATGTAACATCATGGTAAAGCCTATGGACATCAAAAAGAAAATAAAAAGGACTTTATGAATGAGTTGATACCAATACTTGTGACAATTTGGGTTAAATAAATTTCTTGAAAAATGCTATTACTCTTGATATGTGTAAAGAGGAGAATAAAACAACCTTGTGCTTTAAAAATTTGTGTTTTAAAAATATTTTCCAGGGTTATTTTATTCTATTTAACATATCAAGAAGGGAAAGTAGAAACTAATACCCACTTCTTTTTAATATCATCATGGAGCTTCCGCCACACACTTGATTACTGCAGAAAATCAAAGGCACAGGGCTTAAAAACTAAAACAAAAAAGCTTGCTGAGGATATTTTTACCAACATAGAAAATAAACAAAAAATTACTGATGGATAGGAGCTCTGGTGGCTTAGTGCCTAAGGCATTGGACTGCTAACCAGAAGCCTGCTGGTTCAAACTCACCAGCCACTCCTTAGAAGGAAGAGGGGGCAATCTACTTCTGTAGTGATACTGCTTTGGAAACCCAAGGAGTGGTCACTATGAGTCAGATCTGACTCAATGGCAGTGAGTTTTAGTTGAGTTAATGGAAGTAATATTAGGAGTATAACTGAATCTAGTATTAATTTGCAAAATCACTGTATTTTAAAAGTCAATAATAAATAGAAAATATTGTTTTTTTTTTTACTATATCATTA